AATATATATATTTACTTATTTCTTTTTTTATGTCTTTTTTTAAAAAAATGATCTCACTTATTAACATATCTTTTTTGAATTCTTATCCTTGATACCAACTTATAATCTTATAATTCTTAATAGACCTAGAATATTCTATCTTTAGTGATTATGCTGAAGAAGGCATTTGATTATGATAATTACTAAATAAAATTTATATAATGAATCCAATAGCCTCTATTACCTACAAAAATATTGAAATACATCAAAAAAAATTTAACTTTCTTACTACCACAATCTATTACTATGCATTGTAATGAAATGGGATTAATAAAATTAAATTAAGAATTAATAAAATTAGTACAAAGCCTAGGCTTTCATATGAAAACCAAGCATATTAAAATACACCATCACTTTATCAAAAAGAAAGTTTTAGACTAGAAAATTATACTTTCTTATATTTCTATAAATATTCAACTAAGAAATGTACTTACAAAAAATTTAGTAAGAATTAACTTTGAAATTCATCAAGATGCATTAGACAACCAAAACCTTAGCAACTTAGCTTAGGACCAATATAACACTCAATTAGGAAAATTTATTCCTAATAAGTATTGGTACCACCATAATATAAGCTCTTTAGAATACAAAATTTTTTATATAACTATTATGAAAATATCTAATTTTTAGTAAAAATAATTAAATTATTAAAAAAAAACTTATTATTACTACTTATAAATCATGCTCGAAGACCTTCTACTGCAATGAAAAGCTCTACTATAAAAATTGTTCTCTTTAAAAATGCCTTATATCAATTCCTACTACTGAAACAGAAGACAAAGTAGAAGGCACATAAGATACAATTTGTTGCTAGCAAAGATGTTGAAAAGACATAGGTTTTTTTATGTCAAAGGACAATAGTGTTCTTACAATACAAATTTCCATAATTATTCATTCTACTATATGAACTATACTATCCTCTTAGACACTTTCTAATCAAAAGATAGTAATAAATTTTTAGCTTACAAATATATATTAAAAAAAAACCAAAAATAATATAGAAAAAGTCTACCTAAATTGAACTTGACATTGCCTTTCAATGCTTTCTACTTGAATATGCAACCTAGTGCACCATCAATATAACCAAAGGCACAACTAAACAATTTCTATAATAATCCTAATATTATCTATGCCAAGAATAAGAATAATTTTTTTTAACACAAATAATAAAAATCTTCATTAGCACAATTATAAATTACAAAGCATCAATATAAATACAAATTTAAAAAGCAAAGAAATACATATTATAGTCATTTGTCAAATAGTATAGAAACAATTATTTCTTTATTAACGTTCTTCAAACTACAAAATAGCTATAAAAACAAAAAATAATAAAATGATGGAAAAAAATTACATGAAAAGTAAAGTTCTTAATTGTGTGAATAGATAACATAACTTACCTTGAGATTTTCTTTGCTTCTTATTATTTATTGATTATTATAATTATTCTAAATAAATTATTAGTATTAGAATTAGAATTAGAAATAGAATTTATTAATATTTTTTTAAGATTAGGATTTCTAATATTATTTTAAGATTTATTTAGAAGTTGTTAAAAATTTGTTATAATTTAAGATTCTTTTATAATTTGTTAAGTTTGCTTAGAATTGTTGGGATTCAAAATATGGGATTCTAATTATATATCATTTTAAATTTCTAAAAATAATTTATATATATATATATATATATTTAATTTAGTATCATAAAAAAAATTGAGACATTGATTTATATTACTAATTATTGCTTATTATAAACTTGGGCATATTTCATTTATGTAAAAATGCTCACAATTTTAGTCTATTGTAAATTAAGTTTCTAAATTTTTTTATTCTTTCTTTGTCTTATCTTTGTATACACTTAAGAAAAGATATATGAAGTTCTTTTAGAAATCCTCAAATTTTTGAATATATAAAATTATACTAAAAATATATATATTATATATTATAATTTTATAATATTCTTTAATTATATCTAAAATACACATATCTTTAATTTATGATCACACAAATCTTTATCTAAAACATAATTAATTTCTTTTAAAAAAATACAATATGAATATTAATTGATACTATTTACAAATTGATGGTCAATGCTATCTTTGTTAGTTAAGTTTTTTCCAATACAATTTATATCTTAATTTCAAATATTTAAAATTAATATTTTTTTGGAGATATCTAAGAATATTTAAATTTTATATTCTACTTAAGATAGCCAAAAATGATATATTTTCAATACTCTTTTTTAAAAATAATTACATAGTAATTTCTATGCCAATATTTTTAATACTCTTTTCATAATGTTGCTTTGAAAATTAGATGTTCAACGTCTTATTCACTTGATATTTTCTAATTTAGTATATTTAAACCTCTTTTCATATTATTTTTCTAATAAAGAATATTTTTTTATAGAAAATATATATATTACATTCAAAATTCTAATGAAAATATTTTATTATTTTTAAAATAATATTACTTAATACCTCAAATTAAACTCTATTACTTTAACTTTTAATATATATAATTATTTACTTTATGATACAAGGTATAGAACATTAATAATGCTTCAATGGACTTATCAATCACCTTCATAAAAATTGAAGATTAGAATTTGTAACAAAGACTATTTGACAAATCTTAGACTTATTCAATTGTTGAAAAAACCTAAAACTTGATCTTTTTCACATAAAACTTGTTCTAAGAAAGAAAGATATTGTTACAAAAAAATTGACCATCTAAATAAACAAAATTCATAGAAGTATATATAAGTGGGTAGAAATGAATTAGATAGATAATATACCTTCACTAAGAAATATTGAAAAAGCTTTGTGTAAGTAAAATAAATAAATATATATATGTATAGAGAGAGAGAGAGAGAGAGAGAGAGAGAGATGTGCAATGTACTTGTAGTAATTTTTTCAAGTGTTTTTACTTCTGAAGAACCAAAACGGAAGTAAGTTGCATTTTAGATACTTGATTTATAAACATTTTAGTTTTTAGTATAGTCTTTTTGGTATTAATATAATATCTATTTAGTTTTATTTATATTTTATTTATATTTTAAATATTTCACATATTATTAAAACAAATAATTTTGCAATTCATCTTTTAAATTTGAATGTAAATATTGATACATTGAATTTTAATTATTTTTAAAATGTGATAGATTCATCTAAGACTAATTAATCTTAGACTCAATTCATGTTATATTTTTATTCCTAAAACTTTTCTAGAAAATCTGACTTGTAGAAGTTTTTGACATTCATGTTGTGATTTTAAAAGTCTAAGGTGGCTTAGTATATGAAGCAAATAATTTTAAAAATTCCTTAAATATGACATTTGAGTCCATCTTTTAAGTTTTACTAATCTAAATATCATAGTTACTAATTTAAGTTTTATTTTAAAAACTTATAAAAAAATTGAATTCTTACAAAAATTAAACTTCTATAAAATATCAATGATATTGATTTTCAACATTAATTTTATTGGTTAGTCAATGAATTCAAATGAAGAGTTATATATATATATATATATATATATATATATATTTGTGTTTGTGTATGTATATATAAAAAAATAAAAATTAGTAAAAACTAATTAAAATATACAATAATTTGGATAATTTTATGTTTTTCATATTAACCTTAAACAAATATGTAGATTTTAACTTTCTACAACTATACTATGTGGATACCTTGTTAATTTTATTTAGTATTAGAAACCTTTATTCAGTGTTATTATGGTTTTGATTAAATATTTTTATTGCAGATAAGTATTAAAAATTTGTTAAATCAATTGTGTTAATATGCAGGTTTTTAAATTACATAGTGAAAGAAAAGTTCAAAAAAAAAAAAAAAAAATTATAGATACTAATAAAATTTAGATTTGTCTTTCAAAAACATAATTCATAATCCATAACTTTCTATCTATGAATGTTGCAAATTAATTAACATAAATTTTACCATTCAAAAACTTATTCCTTTAGCTTTTAAATCAACTATGGTATTTGTTTATTAAAATGACATTAAATTCAAATTTTAACACCAAAGATGGTAGTACTTTGAATCTGTAAATTGTTTAAAATAATAAATTCTGGTATGTCATAGAAAGTTCAAAAAGTAAAATAAAAATAACAGGAGATCATATTTCGAACATGATTTCACATATTTTCTTTTAATATTTTTAACAAAACATTTTTTGAAAAAATACTGATTCTGTACAACATGCTTCAAATTTGGTACCTAGATAGATTTTATTATTTTCTAAAATACAAAGTGACATTCCGCACAGAAATAATTCCTTCATCCACTTGCTGAATAAGTATTTAAATTTTATAAAAACTTCAAAATTTCAGACTCCAACTTTCGACTACAGCTTCTGATATCATTCTAACCTCAATGAATAAATGTTAAAATTGCAGGAATAAGTTATAAGTATTAAATTCAGCAACAAAATGTAGCATTGATCATAGTGAAACCAAAAAAATACTTTCGTATTTCATTTGAACATTATAAAGCAAGAATCATTGCTTCAAATTCTTAAGAGAAAATGCCATTTTATGAATTGTCATCCAAAGTTTCATCACGTTTTCAACACAATGGAAATTTTTCATTCCTCGAATGGGTCGGTCTGCTGTTTTGCTTAACCTTGTGCCAGCTGCTTACCACTGTTTCTAAAAGTTTCTGTCATGTACAGATAGACAATTTCTGGTCAAGAGACTTGTTACATTTGAGAAATTTTAGAGAAAACAGAACTAAAGCTCCTCAGTCATTTGTCCTTTCAGAAAAAGCACTATGATGGTGACAGAAAGTAAACTGTATCAACATAAACACATTACGAAATTGCCGATTTGGGATTCCCTAATTGAGAATTAGTACCACTCCACTTTACAATAAGAAATAGCACATTAAGTTAACGGGTACTGTCCCAAGTCCACTGATGAAATAGAGTCGAAAACAGCAAGTCTTCTATATAAGATACTACGTCAGTATCACCCATTGTATTGTATAGTTTAGTATCCTTAGAACAGAGGACGTTACAGAAACCAAGAAGAACAGCGGAGACAAAACTCACAGAAACCAGCGACACTAACATTGTTGATGGTTACACTAAAGTGCTAATACTAGCTTCTTAACCTATAAATAATGTGTCACATTGGTGCTCTCCAGTTTAAGCGCGTTCTTTCATTCTGTATAGATTATGAAGGTGAATCCCTAGGGGCGATTCCTTCTCAAGTCAAGTTCCAGCCTCTAAGAAAAGAGTGACCAGAGAAAACCAACACCCCTCTGTAGTAATCCATCATTACAATACAGAATATGCACTTATATAGGATCCGAAACCAATACATGACCATGAAATATCAGTGCCAAGGAGAACTCAAAATGACGAGTTCAAAAGGGAGCCACTGCAAAATGCATCTGAGAAGTAGCTACCGCATTAAAATACCTGACACTCTTAGAAAGCTGATCACTTAGGTTCCTCTCATTGATATCAGTCACAACGGAGAGGCTGGCTTATCAGTATGTATTCCTCCAATGTAGTCACGCTCAAGTGACAGCGAAAGTATGCTAAGCCCATTGTTCAGAAGTAGTAGGGCTTCTTCGCATTCAGCTACCAGCTTCACTAGGGAGGATTCCTCTGTGGATGCTGAGATCGCGTCATTAGCGACATCAGATCCCGCGGCAACAGCCGAATATGAATCGCGCATTTTTTGCAAATTTCGTAAGAGCTGCAAGGGTGCAAGAACCCTTTAAATCAGTGCTATGTATGCGAGTCACTTACTGCTACCTTACTAACAAGGTTCGTTAGACATGATAACAAAATGAACCGGATTGCCTCTTTTTCATTGGCTTCCTCACCCTAACCACCATAAGAAAACGAAACTTTACCTTAAGCAATTGGCTATAAGAATCCAGCAATCGATTTGCAGCAGGTCCAAGTCCATGAAGCTGGGGAACGTCCATCATATGCGTCCATGGCCGAATTTCCTGCTCAATACATCATACAATCACAACAACCACAATGAGGAGCCAAGTGCTGTAAGGGAATGGCCGTGCATGAACCCTCCGTGCTTACAGCTGCGCTAATACAATGGACCAAATCTCAAGATTTATTGGAGAACTGCATCACGCTTCCACTGTACCTTGGCATAGATTATGTTGAAGGACTTTGCTGAATCTAGGAACGTCGCTAGCCGTGCCCGCAATTCTATTTCAGCATCCACGTAGTCTTCATTGGGATTATAACTTTGCTGCAAAACCCTCTCTTAAGGCTCATTCTAAATAGCACACACTTCCTTTGATAAGGAAAGCCCCATCCTCATAAGCATTACAGGCAGTGATACTATTTGACGATTCGAGACGAAGATAACTGAATTCAATCAGAAAAATATTGTAGTGATAGTTCAGCCACATAAACAACTTTGATACAAGGAAGTAGTAAGGTACAGACTACAAAAATCAAAATCTTCAAGAACATTATGCTTCTTCGAAAATTTGCGCAGGATGTTCCGATTGTAGACAACTGAACGTTCTTTAGCTCTTGAGCAGCTCAAGTAATCTAATGACTGACTCTCCAACACAGTAAATACTTTCTCGTTCATGAAGTAATCTTTAACTTGTGAATGAATCAATCATGGCTCCAGGGATGGAAGTATCTAGACTTGGGGAAATAAACCTGAAATGTAGGGGTAGATGACGCTGGATCTTCTTATGTTACATGGAATGTCAGAATTAAACTAAAAACATGTGTGTAAGCTTGCAAGGCCCTGTTTAGAGCTGAGTGGAAAATAGTGAAATTGCAGATGAAGACATGTCCAAATTCCAGAAACTGCTGGTCAGAGTTTGCAGCTAAGATACAAAGTTATAATTACCTTAGCAGACAGTTCAGCAACTGAAGATTGCAATCGCTCTACGGACTTCACCTGCTCCGAGAGCTGGCGTTCCAAGTCTGTTATGTCATGCCTGCATTGAGAAACGGTAATGCTGATGTTAGTGCACAGATATCGATCACCATATGAAAATCATATGAACTACCACATATTAAGAGTTCAGAAGTGTAGTCAGCTGGTATCTAACGATACATTATGATATGAATTCAAATGACTTTGTCACTGGTGGGTCTACGAAATCCTAAACCTGGTCTGGATGAGTACAATCCAGAACCGCAACTTGCGCAATTAAGTTGATAATGAACTACCACATCTATGAATTGAGACCCAAAATTTGGTTTTCAGGAGGAAAAATTACATCCTGCTTGATATCAGAATCACCAAGCAATTGCTTCCTTGAGCCACTATAAGCCCTTGAGGAAAGCAAAAGAAAACTAGAACAAGGACAGCTAAGAAGGAATACATTGCGATGTTGGACATGATTTGCACGTCCGCGGGAAAGAGCTTGCATTCATCTGAGAAGACTTGAGTCTGTTTTTCGGCGATAGCATCGACAAGGAGGATGTCCTTAGCCACTTGATCATCAACACTGTTCTCCCGCCCAAGGTTAGTTTCACAAAGTCATCCAATTGTAGCAATATTACGTTAAATTCAATCACAGAATATTGAAAAATGTCAGTTTCAGATATAAAACTAGCACGGAAAGAACCCTGAACACCCAAACCGCTGCCTCACCTCCACTCAGGGTTGTCAGTAACGCTGCTTGCTTCAACCAGCTCGACGATCAAGTGAAGCATTTCCGCTCGACTTTCATAGCTCCCTTTCCCCTGTATCGTCATCAGTTTGATAGAACTGTTTCAAAAAATATCCATTGGTATAAAGAACGTAGATTGGCAACAGTAGAAGTTTGGAGACACCACAGAGATTGGCATTTTTTTAGTGGAAAACCGATAAACATTTCCAAAATAAAGGTACAAGTTGTGAAAAAGAAGAAAATCACAAACGTCCTTAATATAAAACATAAAGAACAGCACTACATATGCTCGCAAGAACCAGAAATCTGACCTGGATTGCATCTGGGTCTACTGTGGGAGTTAATCCCAAGTATTTGGCAATTTCGGCTAAATCTGTCAACACAATGTTGCGATTTACAAACTGTGCAGGCACTATGAGACGAAAAGAACACTTGCTCATACAGGATTCACAAAAATTAGCTCGTTGAAGTCAAAGGAGGAAGAAACTAACACTGAATTCGTGCAGCTTCTTCGTCGCGGTCTGCTCCTTCACCAAGAAGGTCTTGTTGAGTGAAGGGGGACTTGTCGCCGAGCAACCTGCAATGCCATGCGATGAGGGAGTAAAGCGGGTAAACAGAGTATGGGAAAGAAGGGAGGGCGAGGGGATGAGGGAGGGAGTAAAGTACCTGAAGAAGAGCCAGTCGAGGAGTGCGTAGCGTTCTAAGCCAGCGTAGAGCAGGGATTGCGAAGGAGCGGAAGAGCGAGGGTAGTTGAGGAGAGAGAGCTTGTGATGCACATCATCCATGCACGCTGTAACGCTCATGGCTGCAGGCGCAGCAGGTAAATCAGAAGAAGAAGACGGCACAAAGACAATCGGAGAGAGAGAGAAAGAGAGAGAGCTGGGGGAGGGGACACACAGACATAGGAACAGAGAATAGAGCGGGGGGGGGGGGAGAGCAACAAGCAGTGCCAACTCTCTCTCGCATTCTCGCACTCACTCCCTCCTTCCCTCGGCAATGTTGGAGGAGGAGGACGGAGGGCGAGGAGGACGATGTCGACGGACGGACGGACGGAGACCCGCTCCCTTTCAAAATCAGGGTTCCCCCTGCCCCTGCCCTTCCCATCGTGGATGGATGAACTGATGGGAGTGTGTTCCCCTTCCCTCCCCTCGCTTGCCGCTGCTGTTCTTCTTCTTCTCCTCCTTGTCCTCCTCCACGCTAGCAGGGCAGGGAAGGATGGCATCATGATGCGCAAGCCACGTCGTCCGTCCCCAATCTCTCTCTCGCTCTCTCTCATGCACCCCCGCCCAATTCATTGCTCCAAAGAAGAGAAAGAGACCAACTCAAAATCCCAGCAACACACACACCAACACACTCACTTTCTTACTTCTCCAACCATTCTTAATTCCCCATTCCAAATTCACCTCTCTCACTCTATTGTTATTTATTTATATCTCATGATCTCCCCACTCAACTCTCTCTCTCTCTCACTCTATTGTTATTTGTTTATATCTCATCATCTCTCCACTCAACTCTCTCTCTCTCTCACTCTATTGTTATTTGTTTGTATCTCATCATCTCCCCACTCAACTCTCTCTCTCTCACTCTATTGTTATTTGTTTATATCTCATCATCTCCCCACTCAACTCTCTCTCTCTCACTCTATTCTAATTTGTTTATATCTCATCATCTCCCCACTCAACTCTCTCTCTCTCACTCTATTGTTATTTGTTTATATTTCATCATCTCCCCATTCACCTCTCTCTCTCACTCTACTATTATTTCTTAATATCTCCTCATCCTCACACTCACCTCTCTCTTTCTCTCTATTGTTATTTGTTTATATGTTTTCATCTCCACACTCACCTCTCTCTCTCATTCTATACTTATTTGTTCATATCTGCTCATCTCTACACTAACCTCTCTCTCTCTCTCAACTATTATTTGTTTATATCTTTTCATCTTTACACTCACCTCTCTCTCTCTCTCTTTCTACTAAAATTTGTTTACATCTCCTCATCTCCACACTCACCTCTTTCTCTGTCCCTACTGTTATTTGTTTATGTCTCTACATCCCTACACTCACCTCTCTCTCTTTCTCTCTTTCTTTCTATTGTTATTTGTTTACATCTCTTCATCCCTACACTCACCTCTCTCTCTCTCTCTCTCTCTCTCTCGCTATTGTTATTTGTTTATATCTCTTCATCTCCACACTCACCTCTCTCTTTCATTCTATTGTTATTTCTTTATATCTCCTCAACTCTACAATCACATGTTTGTCTCTCTCTACTATTATTTATTTATATCTTCTCAACTCCTTTACTCACCTCTCTCTCTTTTTCTACTGTTATTTGTTTATATCTCCTCATTCCAACACTCACTTCTCTCTCTCTCTACTATTATTTGTTTATATCTCCTCATCTCCACACTCACCTCTCTCTCTCTCTCTACTGTTATTTGTTTATATCTCCTCATCTCCACACTCACCTCTCTCTCTCTCTCTACTGTTATTTGTTTATATCTCCTCATCTCCACACTCACCTCTCTCTCTCTCTCTCTCTCTCTCTCTATCTATCTACTGTTATTTATTTATATCTTCTCAACCCCTTTACTCACCTCTCTCTCTCTCTCTACTGTTATTTGTTTATATCTCCTCATCACTATACTCACCTCTTTCTCACTCTCTCTCTCTTTAATGTTCTTTCTTTATATCTCCTCATTCTAATACTCACCTCTCTCTCTATGTCTACTGTTATTTATTTATATTTTCTCATCTCCGAACTCACCTCTCTCTTTCTTTCACTCTGTTGTTATTTGCTTATATCTCCTCATCCCCTCACTCACATCTCTCTCTCACTCTATTGTTATTTTTTTATATCTCGTCATCTCCAGAATCACCTCTTTCTCTCTCTCTCTCTCTCTCTCTACTATTATTTCTTAATATCTCTTCATCTCCACAATCACCTCTCTCTCTCTCTCTCTACTGTTATTTATTTATATTTTCTCATCTCCATACTTACCTCTCTTTCTTTCTCTCTCTAATGTTACTTATTTATATCTTCTCATTTCGCCACTCACCTCTTTCTCTCTCTTTCTCTCTTTCTCTCTCTACTATTATTTGTTTATATCTCCTCATCTCCACATTCACCTCTCTCTCTCTCTCTCTCTCTCTACTGTTATTTATTTACATCTCTTCATCCCTACACCCACCTCTCTCTCTCTCTCTCTCTCTCTCTCTCTATTGTTATTTATTTATATTTCCTCATCTCCACACTCTCATCTCTCTCTCTCTCTAATATTACTTGTTTATATCTTTTCATCTTGCCACTAACCTCTCTATCTATTATTATTTGTTTATATCCTCTCATCTCCACAATCACCTCTTTCTATCTCTCTACTTTTATTTGTTAATATCTCTTCATCTCCACACTCACCTCTCTCTCTTTCTCTCTCTATGGTTATTAGTTTAAATCTCTACATCTCCACACTCACCTCTCTCTTTCTCTCTCTCTACTATTATTTGTTTATGTTTGCGGATCTCCAAAAGCACCTCTCTCTCTCTATTGTTAATTGTTTATATCTCCTAATCTCCACACTCATCTCTCTCTCTTTCTTTATACTCTACAATTTCTTGTGTATATATCTCATGCAT